GCCTCGTTTCGCTTCGACGGCTTTCAGCCTCACCCTGCTTCATTCTACTACGTTAATAAATCATTAGCTCATCCATGAACATGATTTCTGCCCGAGTCCCGTCGGATTGCGTCGGCTCTGGGGATGAAGACCACAACTCCCATGATTCCACACTCAGTCACGCCGTCATCAAACTACGCCTTTGTCTCTTTGTTTGTTTTGAATACGCGCCCTCCAGCGGCGAAATTACATATTGTGCCTTTAACTGCTATTTTCTTCTTATTTTCTTACTTAAAGGGATAGTTCACCCAAAAATTAAAATTCTGTCCTCATTTACTCGCCCTCAATTACCCAACTCTATGCATGTTCTGCATGATTGTCCCGGTTTTAATGGAAGTAGAACACTTTTTTATGAAGTACGCTCACTCAGGGACTTGTTTAGTAAGAATTTACCAGACAAGATTTTAGATTTTTTTTTATTTAAAAAAATCTTGTATAATTTTAACTGCTGCATTTTTGTGTTTGCTTGGTGTTTATGTAACTTTAGTATTATCCGTCGGATTGCGTCGGCTGTGGGGATGAAGACCACAACTCCCATGATTCCACACTCAGTCACAGTGTCATCAAACTACGCCTTTGTTTCTTTGTTTGTTTTGAATACACGCCCTCTAGTGGCGAAAATTACATATTGTGCCTTTAACTGCTATTTTCTTCTCATTTTCTTACTTAAAGGGATAGTTCACACAAAAATGAAAATTCTGTCCTCATTTACTCGCCCTCAAGTACCCAACTCTATGCATGTTCTGTAAGACCCCCCCCCTTTCCATGAAACATATTTTATTGGATTGTCCCGGTTTTAAAAAGTAGAAAAGTTTTTTTATGAAGTACGCTCACTCAGTGACTTGTTTAGTAAGAATTTACCAGAAAAGATTTTAGTTTTTTTTATCGTATGTTAATTTTAAAAAATCTTGTATAATTTTAACTGCTGTATTTTTGTGTTTGCTTGGTGTTTATGTAACTAGTATTATCCCAACTCAGTTTTTGCCATGAAGATGGCAATAAAAATAAATAACTTCTACTACTGCTCACTCTCATGTTGTTCCAAACCTGTATGAATTTCTTTCTTCTGTTGAACACACAAGAAGATATTTTGAAGAATGTGTGAAACCAAACAGTTTCTGGTCCCCATTGACTTCAATAGTATGGAAAAAATACTGTGAACGTCAGTGAGGACCAGAAACTGTTTGGTTACACACATTCTTCAAAATATCTTCTTGTATGTTCAACAGAAGAAAGAAATTTATACAGGTTTGGAACAACTTGAGAGTGAGTAAATGCTGATGGGATTTTTAAATTTTTTAGTAAACTATCCCTTTAAGTAAGAAAATAAGAAGTAAAGTTAAAGGGGTCATATGATGCGATTTCAAAATTTACCAGAAAAGATTTTAGTTTTTTTTATCGTATGTTAATTTTAAAAAATCTTGTATAATTTTAACTGCTGTATTTTTGTGTTTGCTTGGTGTTTATGTAACTAGTATTATCCCAACTCAGTTTTTGCCATGAAGATGGCAATAAAAATAAATAACTTCTACTACTGCTCACTCTCATGTTGTTCCAAACCTGTATGAATTTCTTTCTTCTGTTGAACACACAAGAAGATATTTTGAAGAATGTGTGAAACCAAACAGTTTCTGGTCCCCATTGACTTCAATAGTATAGAAAAAATACTGTGAACGTCAGTAAGGACCAGAAACTGTTTGGTTAAACACATTCTTCAAAATATCTTCTTGTGTGTTCAACAGAAGAAAGAAATTCATACAGGTTTGGAACAACTTGAGAGTGAGTAATGCTGACGGGATTTTTAAATTTTTTAGTGAACTATCCCTTTAAGTAAGAAAATAAGTAAAGTTAAGAATAGTTTGTATTCCAAAAAAATACTTCATATGAATGTTCTTCTCTTTTTTTTTTTCTTAAGATTCTTGAAAAGAATCTTTCTAAAAATCTTTGCAAATAAACTTGTCTTAAATCCTCAAAGGTAAGACGTTTAATGAATTTGCTGGGTTGTTTGAAATATAAACCAAATATTCAGATTTAATTTTTTATTAAATTTTTTTCACTTTAATTTGAAAGTTTTGGTAATGTTATGTTTTTTTTTAGTTTTTTTTTTTATGTGGTATTTGTTTTAATGTGTGTGTATAAAGTATTTGTTCATTTTTATTTGTTTTAGTTTATTATGTTTAGTTATTTTAGTACTTTGACTTAAACTAAAGAAAAACGGGAGATGTTGTCTTGGCAACTAGCTAAAATCAATGTACTTTTTTCAGTAACGCTTATTTTACTTAAAGCAATTTTATAATGGTTTTTTAGTTAATGATCATAACCCTGGTGAATGAAAATAGTGTGCACTATTATGATTATTACCTTTGGCGCCTTTGAGGTGTTTTTCACTGAACCGATAAGCAAGTCTTTGCCAAGAAATTGCCAAACAATCATATACCACCTAAACGTTTTCTTCCTAAGCAAAAAAAATTAAGTAAATATTTGAGAACTTCTTAGAGAATTGAATATCTGGGAATTTAACTTTTTTTTTTTTGTTTTTTTTTAGTAAGCGTCAGAATAACTGCAGTAATATCTCCAGATGAACACTTACTGGACTGAAGCAGCTCAGCTTTACTTGATTCTCCATCAGTCATGTTTTAGAGTCTCAAATCTGATCCTCAGGATCTTTTGAGGAGCGTTTATTTCCAGCAGCTTTACTTTCACTGTTCCTCAGCGGAGGAATGATCTCCACAAGCCTCCAGAACATCTCTCAATCAGCACTGGATTGCATTGCATTATATGTGTGGATCATTTCAATCTCATTTTACTAAGACATATTATATAATTTATATAACATTCTATGTAAGCATCTGCTATTCTGTTATAAAGATCTCATTGATTTACATTACAGGCATCAGAATGTTATCTTACTTTTTGTCTGTGTAAATATCAGCATCTGTGGCATATTTTTGCTCCGTTTGGGCCTCTGAATAAAATTGAGCTGTTTTTTCCCTGCACATTCTCACTGAATGAGCCATAAAAGCCTGATGCATCAAATATGATTCTCAACAAAAACAGATAACAGATTTTTGTTTCAATAAACTGTTCAATAAGGAATATGCTGTTTGCATACACACAAAAAAAACAAATATGTTTTAAAAAAGCCTTAAATTATATTCACAATGTGAACTATTTTTACTGTTGTGAAATATCTCTGATGCATGGATTGTAATTGTGTGTGTGTGTGTGTGTCCAGATGTGGAGTGTGTCCCGTAGAGCCGGTGTCCATGAACAGACTCAACTTCCTGAGAAGCAGAAACAGGTACGGCAGCTCTCTGTCTGTGTATATAGATCTCCGTCTGCACACAGATGTAGATGAAGGCCATCTCTTCTTCTGCAGGAATGGACTGGGTCCTGCTAAGGAGGGTGAGCCGCAGTATGCGGTCGTGCACTGCACAGGCTTCATCAAGTCCTGGCCTCCTGCAGGTAACACTATCCACAGCACAACGCAGAGGAAGTGTCTATTGTTCACAGAGAGCTGAGCTGAATCCCACAGTCCAGTCAGAACACAACTGAGACTTGTATTGTGCCTTCATCCACTCTGTCTTGCTCTCTCAGGAGTGACTCTTGCTGAAGAGGAGGCCGATAATAATCAGGGAAATCGTTTCTGTCTAGTCGCCATTGGAAGGCTACAGGTACTTTCCCCCTTCCGTTTTATTTCAGTTTCCAGTGAATTAGTTTTGAGTCACATCCAAAGGAATAGTTTGCACAATTCTGTCGTCATTTACTCATATCTTATCTCATATCTTTCTATGAAGGGCAAGTTTAGCCCTTTGTTCATGCTGCTCTTTATCTTTATTCACTTTCATCATTTGTAAAAGAGCAACATTGACTCATTTATGACAAACACCTCAAAAATGAAAATTGTGCAGGGCTCGCAAAATGTCAAAATCCCTGGTAGCCCTTCGGACAGGCACTCGAAATAAATATAACTGTTATAATATAAATATAACTGTTTATCTTCAAAATGCAAATAAAGATATTTTGAATGAAACCTGAGAGATTTCTGTCTCTACATTGAAAGTCCATTCCACCAAAGATTTGACAATTCAAAAAATTCATAAAGAAGTTTTAATTTAGCTTTTTAATCACATATAAACGTTGATAGAGCTCATCAAATGTGGTAAATGAAAGCTCAAATGTGCTTGTTTGACGCTCAAGAAGCAATGAGGTTTGTTCTCGTGTGTATAAATATAAAGCGATCGTGTCTCTTCAGACAGTCTGGATTAAATCTCTCAATCCATATGGATCATTTTACAGTGTTTTTATGAACTTTTTGAATCGTAAAAGTTTTGGTTGCATTGACTTTCGTAGGTGGAACAGAAATCTCTCAGGTTTAATTAAAAATAAATAATCATTTAAATTTCAAAGATGAACAAAAGTCATACAGGTTTGGAACAGCATGTTTAGAGTGAGTAATTGATGACAGAATTGTTATTTTTGGGAGAACTGTCTCTTTAAGATCCTCTCTGACCTCTGTTTTGTCGTGCAGGTCACATGTTGCCCAAGCGACACTAGCATAAATAACATCAGCGTTCCAGTGGAATTTATTTCCCGCCACAACTGTCAGGGCCTCTACACCTTTGTGGATCACCGCTGTCAGGCGACGGTGGGCTTCCAGCCTCAGGTGGGCCTCAGAAACCTGAGTCAGGGTCATTTCTGCAGAGCAGGAGGTTAAGATGATGCCTCTGCATTTGTTGAGTATCACTGATGAGCTCCACTGTCCACCAGTGATGCACCAAGATCTTTTAGTCAGCGTTATTTTCAGTTGTCTTACTTTTGATATAAAACAAAATCTGATCGTTCAAAGTCTGTCAGTTTTATCACAAAATACAAACAATACATGTGGATTTGACACTGATTAATGTGAGATTGCTGTAGCCTCAGTTCAAGCAACATGTGAACTGATCATCTCTTCCTCTTTACTACTAATTATAGCACCAAATAACCATGAATGAACATCAGAAGGTGTTGAAAGAAACAGAATAACTTGCTGAAATGAATCATATCTTGTGTAATCGATCAATCAGTGTTTAAACTGCAGAAAGACACATTTATTACCAGTAAAACCAGTAAAACAGCTTGTGAACAATTACGTTTACCTCAGGAAGGACATTCAGTGTCCATAAACTCATTAGTTAACTAGAAAACAAAAATTTGAGGAGCAGTTTGATAAATATATGCAATATGTCTTACATATTCATTTTATTTTTACTTAACCTGTTTCTTCATTAGTTAATGTATGTTTAAATAGATCTGTCACGAAAACAAGTTTTTATCACAGCCACTGTTTAAATGTTTATATTTCATGATTTGGAGTAACTGTCATTAAAAATGCAATTGAAATGTATTATACAAAAGTCAGTTTTATTTGAATACTGGTTATTAAATAAATGTAATTATTATTATTGTTATTATAATAATTGGGTGCTTCACTAGTCTTGCAGTGTTTTCCATCTTTTGTGTTGTTGTGTGACACAGGAGCAATCCCGCGAGTGGATCTGGATGAGAACCAGCTCGTTCACCTTCCAGAACCCTTTCTCTGAAGAGATCGAGTACATCATCTGCACCAACGCCAATGTCAAGTTAGTACTGAAATGCATCACAACATCAGATACCGACTTCACAGCAAATGTGATGTCACTCGCTTCGATATTTTGTTATCTAATGTAAGTTAATGCTGCTTACATTGTGACTTAATTGTTTTGGGGCCGCCGTTTAATATGTTTAGCATCATGTTATTCAGTGTTGTCTAATCCAGTATGACTTTATGCAGTGTGTCATATGCTTTTATGATCAAAGGTTTAATTCCTGTGGAGGTAATCAAATGTAATTCAGTTTGTTTGAAGGCGTGTGTGTATGTCACGAAAATGTCTGGTTCTCTTTTCATCCCAAAATAGTAATAAAAAGAGGAAATTATATAGAAATGACAAAGAATATATAAATAAAGAAATTGATAATTGTTTTATGTATTATGACATAGTAAAATGAGACATTTCATGACAATTTAGCATATCTTCCTCCTCCCCAATTCTAATAATGCAGAAAATATATTTATTTCAGTTATGAACACCACTTTTGCTCACCGAGGCTGAACTTAATTGATTAAAAATACAGTAAAAACTGTAATATTGTGAAATATTATTACCATTTAATATAGATGATTTCTATGTGAATATCTGTTAAACTGTAATTTATTTCTGTGATCAAAGCTGTATTTTCAGCATCATTACTCCAGTCTTCAGTGTCACATGATCTTCAGAAATCATTCTAATATGCTGATTTGCTGCTCGAGAAACATTTCTGATTATTATCAATGTTGAAAACAGTTGTGCTGCACAATATTTGTGTGGAAACTGTGATGCATTTTATTTTTCAGGATTCACAGATGAATAGAAAGTTCAGAAGAACAGCATTTATTTGAAATAGAAATATTTTATAACATTTTACATGTTGATCAATTTAATGTGTCCATGATGAATTAATTAATGAATTTCTTTAAAAAACAAAAAAAGTTACTGATTCCAAACTTTGGTAGTATTTTATCGTTTATTTTTTTTTTTTTATAAAAAGTAATTGCATTACTGTAATGTGAATCATCACTGAGAATTATAAACAAACATCTGGACACATTATGATGATGAGACTTTAAGAAAAATGTGCTGAATTGGCCTGAAAAGGCAAAATTGTCACAATGTGAAAAAATCCGAAAGCTCCCAAATATAGGAGTTTTTTTTTTATGTGGAACAATGTCATGTTTGTTTGATTTTTGGGGTCAGTTAGGAGCCAGACGTGTTTGAGCCGTGTGTGTCTGAGAGTGAGCGTGAGCTCTCAGTTTAATCTGACCGCTTTCTCTCCACCAATCCCTCTGGTTTACATGACAGTAGAGGTGCGAATCAGGACTCCCTGTCCCCCCTCTCTTCCCCGGGGGTTTCACTGCCCCCTTCACTGGGGCAGAGCAGTCCTAACTGCCCCTCCACCCCCAGCCCAGGGCAGGTCACAGCCAGGTGAGAGCAGACCAATGGCGCACTGGGTCTTTCTTTCTCCTCTCGGGTGAGCCTCTTTCCGTCCCGTCTGCTGCTGTCGGTCGGTGGTGGGTTACCAGCATGCTCTCTTCCCGTAGATAGCTGTGCTGTCCGAGGCAAGCTGAGAACAGGTGACGGTGTGTCGGTGGTGGGTTTGACGGTCGTGACGGTCTCACATCAGTGTGGTTTGCTCTTCTGCAGGCAGTTGCAGCAGCAGCAGGCCGAGTTAGACGGAGGGATGGGACGAGACGCAGCGTATGAAACCAATCAGGTCACTCTTCCTCAGGTGAACACACACACTTCCCCTTTAAATTACTACATCACACTCTGTGCTGTTTCAGTGCACAGGGTTGATTAGCAGATTTAAAAAATGTGACCCTGGAGCACAAAACCAGTCATAAGGGTCAATTTTTTGAAACTGGGAATTATGCATCACCTGAAAGCTGAACAAATAAGCTTTCCATTGATGTATGGTTTGTTAGGATCGGAAAAAATTTGGCTGAGATACAACTATTTGAAAATCTGGAATCTGAGGGTGCAAAAAAATCAAAATATTGAGAAAATCATCTTTAAAGTTGTCCAAATGAAGTTCTTGGCAATGCATATTACTAATCAAAAATTAAGTTTTGATGTATTTACGGTAGGAAATTTAGAAAATATCTTCATGGAACATCATCTTTACTTAATATCCTAATGATTTTTGGCATAAAAGAAAAATCGATAATTTTGACCCATACAATGTATTTTTGGCTATTGCTACAAATATACCCCAGCGACTTAAGACTGCTTTTGTGCTCCAGGGTCACATATAGATGTAAATGAAATAACTGTGAAAAGTACCAGCACTGAATGAACTCAAAACAATGACTTAACCCTCCTGAGCTTTTCACACGCTGGTTGTTTGCTAACACTTAACGAGTAAGAGTGTAATTTTGTCGTTGCTTAATGATATGTTCTAACACTAGTTTCCCTAAAGTGTTAACAGTAGAAGTATGCAGTCTTGGGGATTTTGGCTATTTGGATCTTATTTACCCCTCTTAATCTGATGAATAATTGGCTGCCGTGAGTGATTTTAGATCCGGAACGGTAAAAGTGTAACTTGGTCTTATTTACATGTACATTTCACAGTTTCACCCTCATTTCGGAATGTCTCTCTACAGTAAAAATATACACTTTCTTAGTTTAAAAAGAAGAAAATATGAGAATTTATTATGTATTTGAAGTGACTGAGCGTTTCTGTGTCTGTGTTTGTCTCAGGTTCCAGTGCAGACTGTAGGTGTAGTCGGTGCTGATCACAGTAAGACTCCCAATAAACACACACACACAGATATATGGCCAAAGATATTATCACTATATTTTTTCCATAGTATTCGATTTTGATATTTATCACAATATTCATTTAACACAGTTAATGGGGAAGGAATGTTTATTAGACATGTAGAATGAATGTAAACATAACTTATTTGTTTACAAGTAAACTACACCGAGTAACCTAGCTTTAAAAATTTTTTTTCAATTCTGTTTGCTACAAATAATGTCATACAAATCTATCATAATGTTGTCTACTGAAATAAATCGTATTTACAAATTTAATATTTTTTTTTAAAATTGTAATCAAATGAAGATGTCATTAACATTAATTAATTGCATTTTTATTTTTTTTAAAGCATGGGTGAAAAATATCTTCGTTGTATATATTCCTTAAAAATAATAATAATAATAATAATCAATGCATGATATAATGTATAAAATAATGTTTTATTACATTTTGTTATTGTTATTAATTTATCATTATTTAGAAGTGCATTTTGCTACGCAGTAGCACTATATTTATGTCATAATTTCTTAAGTTTAAAGGTCCCATGACATGCTGCTTTTTGGATGCTTTTATATAGGCCTAAGTGGTCCCTAGTACTGTATCTGAAGTCTCTTTCCCGAAATTCAGCCTTGGTGCAGAATTTCAGCCACTACGAGCCAGTCCCACAATGAGCTTTCCTTAGGACGTGCCATTTCTGTGTCTGTAGCTTTAAATGCTAATGAGGAGGAGAGAGGCGGGGCAACTGCCATGCTTCGCTCGTTTGCAAGCCATGATGTCTCTCGAGGAAAAAAAAATATTGCACTCGCCTCGCACTGTAGTAGCTCATTTTCTCATGGGCGGGCCAAATTCTCTGGGCGGGCAAAGCAGAGAAAGGGGAGGTAACCTTTCCCCGTATGACGACATAAAGGGAAGATTCCAGATTGGGCCATCTGAGCTTTCATTTTCTCAAAGGCAAAGCAGGATATCCAGGGCTCGCCATTTCTAGCCACTGGGGGACCATAGGCAGGCTAGGGGAACTCATATTAATGTTAAAAAACCTCATAAAGTGAAATTTTCATGCCATGGGACCTTTAAAGTTAAACAGACCTTTTATTTTTTGAGTTCAGTGTGTATTTGACACTAGCTTTTCTCATATGTGTCCCTGGAGCACAAAAGCAGTCTTAAGTCGCTGGGGTATATTTGTAGGTAATATGCATTGCTAAGGACTTCATTTGGACAACTTTAAAGATGATTTTCTCAATATTTAGATTTTTTTGCACCCTCAGATTGCAGATTTTCAAATAGTTGTATCTCGGCCAAATATTGTCCGATCCTAACAAACCATACATCAATGGAAAGCGTATTTATTCAGCTTTCAGATGATGTATACATCTCAATTTCTACAAATTTAACCTTATGACTGGTTTTGTGCTCCAGGGTCACATATGAAACGGTGAAATGCGTGTGCATGCTTGAGTATGTATGTGTAGTAGATGAAACTGTGCTGCTCATTCATGCAGAACATCCAGACAAGCACCTGATCATTGGCTAAATGTCAAAGATGACTCAGAAGTGTATTACTGATGTCATGGATGTGTTATCGTCCAGGCCTAATTCATAGTCACAGTGATTGACAGGTGTCTGTCTCTCTCAGACTCTAAAGCCGTGTCCTCCAGTGCCTCCGGTGGACAGCAGCTTTACCCACCAGCAGCAGATGCTCAGATTTTCTGGTTCTAGTCAGAATTCTGGCAGCAGTGTTCTGGATGAGCTGCAGCTGTCTAATGGTCTTCTTGTGAAGGCCGGTGAGGAGACCATTACAATAGTCCACCCTGCTGGTGATAAAGGCATGAACAAGTTTCTCCAAGTCTTGACTGCAAACAAAACATCTAATTCTTGCAATGTTTTTTAGATGATAGTATGCTGATTTAGCTACTGCTTTGACATGACTACTGAAACTAACATAACTACACTAGTATCACGATTACTACTGATCAGACTTTTTGTTAGTGATTATAAAACCATTAACATTTGTGCTGTAGCCATGAATGATTGCTAAATTGTGATTGGGTAACATTCAGACACAGAAGGCAACATATTTTATTATTATTATTATTATTAATATTTATGATTATTATTACACTACTGTTTGGGGTCAGTAAGATTGTTTGATGTTTTTGAAAGAAATCGCTTCTGCTTATCAAAGCTGCATTTATTTGGTCAAAAATACAGTAAAAACAGTAACATTATGAAATATTATTACAATTTAAAATAACTGTTTTCTATGTGAATATATTGTAAAATATAATTTATTTGTGTGACATTTAATAATGAAATAATATTCAGTTAACTAATTTAATTAAATAGAAATCTTTTGTGACATAAATTTATATACTGGCACTTTTGATCAATTTAATGCATCACTGCTAAATAAAAGTACTTTTTTTTTTCTGTCTGTTTTTTTTTTTTCTTAGCCTAGATGGTATCACAGTTTCCATAAACGTATTGTGCAGCACAACTGTTTTCAACATTGATAATAATCAGAAATGTTTCTTGAGCAGCAAATCAGCATATTAGAATGATTTCTGAAGATCATGTGACACTGGAGACTGGAGTAATGATGCTGAAAATACAGCTGCGCATCACAGAAATAAATTACAGTTTAACAGATATTCACATAGAGAACAGCTGTTTTACATTGTAATAATATTTCACAATATTAATTCACAATATTTCAGTTTTTATTATATATTTTATCAAATAAATGCACCCTTGGTGAGCATAAAAATGTATTTCAAAATGTCTTTCTTTTCTTGTTGTTGCAAATACTCTCTTTGTCCAGCAGATGGCAGGTCAGGTTGTGAAGAGTCAGTCAGCTCAGTTTAACATGGGAGGTTTCAGCTCCGCCCCTTCATCCTCCACTTCCTCTTCCTTTGGCCAGATGGGCGGGGCTTCTGCTTCAATGGCAAACACATCAAATTACCAACAAATAAACAGCCACAACAACCCTTCAACTAATGGATTCGGTGAATATTTTGCAGAATGTTTATATTAACTAGATAAAAAAGTTTGTCAAGACAAACTTTAGGTTGGCTTGAGAAAGCCTAGCCTGAAAGTTTAAAGCAGTTGTAAAAACCTGAAGTTTGAAAACTTAGATTAGATAAATGTTGATAACATGTTTCTAGCATGATTGGCATGTTTTTAGCATGATTAGCCTGTTACTAGCATATTGCTGGCATGATTAACATATTGCTAGCATGTTGCTAAGCATGATTAACAAGTGACTAGCATGTTACTAGCATGATTAACAAGTTACTAGCATGTCTCTAGCATGATTAGCAAGTGACTAGCATGCTATTAGCATGATTAGCAAGTGACTAGCCTGTTTCTAGCATGATTAGCATGTTACTAGCGTGTTGCTAGCATGATTAGCAAGTGACTAGCATGCTGTTAACATGATTAGCAAGTGACTAGCCTGTTTCTAGCATGATTAGCATTTTACTAGCATGATTAGTTAGTGACTAGCATGTCACTTGCATGATTAGCAAGTGACTAGCATGTTGTTAACATTAGCAAGTGACTAGCCCGTTTCTAGCATGATTAGCATGTTACTAGCGTGTTGTTAGCATGATTAGCAAGTGACTAGCATGTCACTTGCATGATTAGCAAGTGACTAGCATGTTGTTAACATTAGCAAGTGACTAGCCCGTTTCTAGCATGATTAGCATGTTACTAGCGTGTTGTTAGCATGATTAGCAAGTGACTAGCATGTCGCTCGCATGATTAGACAAATGATTTTCATGTCGCTAGCATGATTAGCAAGTGACTAGCATGTTTCTAACATGATTAGCATGTTGTTATGATTAGCATGCTACTAGCATGATTAGCATGTTACTAGCATGTTGCTAGCATGATTAGCATGTTACTAGCATGTTGTATGTTTCTAGCATGATTAGCATGTCGCTAGGATAGATAGATAAGTAGATAAAAACTATTAGTCAGATCAGTCTGAAGAGCTGGGCTGAGTTTGGTGGTTCTAGCTTGAAAGCTCTAAGAGGAGTAGCGTTCAGAAATTTAGTCTAAGAGGAATAATAATAAAAAGCTTAAGTAGCAGATCAGTAGGTTGGCTTTCTCATGTTCCAGCTCTCAGTTTTGCTCTTGCTCTTTCGTTCAGGCGACATTAATCAGATGGGAGCGCAGTTCCGCTCCAGGCCAGCAGAGGGAGTGTCAGGCTGGCAGCAGTGGCAAACTCAGCCACACACTCAAGGCACCGCAGACGCACACCAGCAGCCTCAAAACAGCCAGACAGAGATGTTTCAAGTGAGTGGAGCCCACACAACCAATCATGTCTGTCTTTTAAAGGAATAGCTCACCCAAAAATGAAAATTTCTTGAAAATATGCCTATAATTCCTATAACCTGCCTCTCTTTTTCTCCTCTTCAGGATGTTATCTCCATGTTGGATCAAACCGGCAGCTTCGGCAACGATGATTTCGCCGAGATGCCCATGTTTCCTCCTTTCCCCGAGTGATCCCGCTTCACTCCCTGTTGCTCTCTCACACGCCATTTCTTACTCGTTTAACCAAATCAATGGCAGAGCGGAGGCACGGAGGGATCTAAAACGAGAGCGAGACTGATGCATTGTGAGAATGGAAGTTATAAGCCATAACGTGAGGATACAGTGTAGCGCACAGACAGACAGGCCTTGTTGAAATGTGTTCACTTTAAAAGCACGCACAATTGCACACTTCGAGCACAAGCGGTCTCACACTGTCTGCCGTACACGCACATGCTTAGATCTATGAGATGGAGATGAGGAGGGTTTGTTTGCCCTACACACGCGCATGATTAGCAAGTGACTAGCATGTTGTTAACATTAGCAAGTGACTAGCCCGTTTCTAGCATGATTAGCATGTTACTAGCGTGTTGTTAGCATGATTAGCAAGTGACTAGCATGTCGCTCGCATGATTAGACAAATGATTTTCATGTCGCTAGCATGATTAGCAAGTGACTAGCATGTTTCTAACATGATTAGCATGTTGTTATGATTAGCATGCTACTAGCATGATTAGCATGTTACTAGCATGTTGTATGTTTCTAGCATGATTAGCATGTCGCTAGGATAGATAGATAAGTAGATAAAAACTATTAGTCAGATCAGTCTGAAGAGCTGGGCTGAGTTTGGTGGTTCTAGCTTGAAAGCTCTAAGAGGAGTAGCGTTCAGAAATTTAGTCTAAGAGGAATAATAATAAAAAGCTTAAGTAGCAGATCAGTAGGTTGGCTTTCTCATGTTCCAGCTCTCAGTTTTGCTCTTGCTCTTTCGTTCAGGCGACATTAATCAGATGGGAGCGCAGTTCCGCTCCAGGCCAGCAGAGGGAGTGTCAGGCTGGCAGCAGTGGCAAACTCAGCCACACACTCAAGGCACCGCAGACGCACACCAGCAGCCTCAAAACAGCCAGACAGAGATGTTTCAAGTGAGTGGAGCCCACACAACCAATCATGTCTGTCTTTTAAAGGAATAGCTCACCCAAAAATGAAAATTTCTTGAAAATATGCCTATAATTCCTATAACCTGCCTCTCTTTTTCTCCTCTTCAGGATGTTATCTCCATGTTGGATCAAACCGGCAGCTTCGGCAACGATGATTTCGCCGAGATGCCCATGTTTCCTCCTTTCCCCGAGTGATCCCGCTTCACTCCCTGTTGCTCTCTCACACGCCATTTCTTACTCGTTTAACCAAATCAATGGCAGAGCGGAGGCACGGAGGGATCTAAAACGAGAGCGAGACTGATGCATTGTGAGAATGGAAGTTATAAGCCATAACGTGAGGATACAGTGTAGCGCACAGACAGACAGGCCTTGTTGAAATGTGTTCACTTTAAAAGCACGCACAATTGCACACTTCGAGCACAAGCGGTCTCACACTGTCTGCCGTACACGCACATGCTTAGATCTATGAGATGGAGATGAGGAGGGTTTGTTTGCCCTACACACGCACACACACACACACTGACACACACTCACTCACACTCACACTCACACTCACACACACACACACACA